CGTCAGGGGCGACGCCGGCGGCTTCCCGGCGCCCGAGGAGTTTAGTTTCCCTCCGAAAACCTTCCAGCCGATGTAACCACTTAGCTCCGCGGTCCGGGGGGGGACCGAGGGGCTCACGCCCATGGAGCCCACCCCTTTTCTCACTCCCGTCCCCATCAGTCTCCCAGTCTTGATGCCTGCTTTGTTCTTAGGAAGGTGGTGGTTACAGTTAGGCAAACTGTTTGAAGAGTCTCCTTAATGCTTTTTTTTAAAAAATCAGTCCTGGGGCTTGAACTCAAGGCCTGGGCTCTGTCCCTGAGCGCTTCCATTCAAGGCTAGCACACTAGCATAGCACCACTTCCGGCTCTGTGTATGAGGTACTGAGGAATCGAACCCAGGGCTTCATGCATGCCAGGCAAGCGCTCTACCACTGAGCCACCTTCCCGGCCCCACGTTTGTTCTTTTACAAAGACTATGGGAAAAAAGTTAAAAAAAGTAGACCAACATTTAATTTTGAGATTTCAGAATAAAGGCATTCGTGAGTGTGAGTATGAGTGTGAGTGTGTGTGTGTGTGTGCGCGCGCGCACGTGCACACGCGCACACGTTTTGGGTCTTGAAATTGGTCTGGGTGCTGTCCCTGAGCTTTTTAGCTCAAGGCTGGCCGTCTACCAATTGAACCACAGCTCCACTTCCAGTTTTTTTGTTGGCTAATTTAGGATAAGAGTCTTGCATGTCTTTCCTGCCCAGGCTGGCTTTGAAACGTGATCCTCAGATCTCAGCCTCCTGAATAGCCAGGATTACAGGTGTGAGCACCCAGCTAACAAGTTACTTCTTGTAACTTGACAAGGCTGAGCATTGTACTTTGTGGAAGAAATGAATCTACAGTTGGAATTAAGTTTCTGGTTAGATAAGATAATGTTCCTCTTTTTACAGAAGGGAATGCAACGTAAGCACTGTAGACAATTGAAGCTTTCTGTGTTGATATGTTTGCAGATGGTGCTCTGCTTATCTTTCTATTGCCCATCCTGTTCCGTGTTGCTACTGTAATGCAGGTTGAATTTAGTAATAAGCTTGTGATAGGCATTACTGACTTAGTGCAGTGCTAGTGTCCAGTCCAGTCCTATAGTGTGATGAATTCTTTTTGGGCTCAATGCTGCAAAAATTATGAGTGTATTTGTTAAACAAATGAGATTAATGGAGGGATGTGTTAAACATAAAGCCTGGCATATAGGAAGTTAGTTAAGTGCCCAGGAAATGGTTATGGAACGTTTGTGCTAAGTTTTATTCCAGTATGCAAATGTATATTTTAAAAATAACAGTAATGCAATTCAAGATGTTGATAGACCCTAAAATTAAATTTCTTAAAGGAAATAGGCCAGCCTTTTTTTTTCTTAAAGTTTGAGAACTAATGTGAAATAGTAAATAAATGCATGTCCCAGATGTCTAGAAAAGGAAAAAAAAAGCAGGGTTTTAATTTTGACAATTAAATTTTTTTCCCCCTAAAGGAGTCCCTTAGTATATATGTATATACTATGAATAGAAGTTTGATTTGAAAGATAAAACTTGAAAAATAATTTTTATTTGAAAAGTGAAACTTGGAAGTGAAACAAAGCTTTGAAATTTACTGTAAGTGGAATGGAGCAGGATGAGTCCTGGATTTATGCAAATGTGCAAATGCTCTCATCCCAAGTATCAGGCAGCCAGCCTAATGGGGATTAAATACTGCTGCTTTGTGTGAGGAAGAGTAAGTGAGTGAGGCTTTCAGAAAATTGGTCTTGATGGGTTCTGAGACTCATTGGTAACAATAGCACAGGAGAATATTTTGTAGAGGTTATTATTATTATTTTTCCTTACATGCTTGCTCTGGTGAGAAGAAATGGACTCATTCATTAAGCAGAAGTCCTTGTGCCTACTGTTGACCAGGAATTGCGCTAGGTTCAAGGTCTATGCTTGCTATTTTCTTGTTTCCTTTGTTTTAAATTAATTTAGACCATTCTTCTTGACCACGCATGTTCAGCATGCAAGCAGTCAGTGTATGTGTTAAAGCACATGCATTGCAAACCTTCACTATTGATGAAGTGTAGGAAATAGGGAATTTTAACGGGAATGGAAGACTGACAAATTTAGGAGGTTGTAGAATCTGCGTTAGTTTTCTCTTTGTGGATTGGCTGTCTAGCTGCTGTTTCCATGCCAGCAGATTTATCTATTTTACACTTAGTTCCTGGTTTTAAGAACCCAAAAGAGACTACATCATATAATTGTCAGTTTTCTCTTAAGATTTTTTTAAAAGCATGAAGTAAAAAAATCTTACAGCCAAGATAATTATAGCTTTATTTCACTTTTTTATTTTATTTTTATTTTTGTTCTTCCTTATGCCCCTATCCCTACTTTTATTAGGTTGCATGAGTTATGGTGGGGGGAGGCATACTTGCATTTCCATACATTTACAATATATTTCAGTCTGTATTACCCCCTCTACCACTCTCCCTCTTTAAAACAATTTCAACAGGTTTCAGTGTTCTACTTTCATAGTTGTCAACCATTTATTTTGCCTATCCTCCTTGCTAGCCCAACCCCTCCTGCCATGATCCTCTCTTGACAGAGCCTGTTTTTCTTTTCCTGTCCTCAGGCTGTTGGTCTCAAATTATTCTTACCAAGTATCAGCTGAATATGTCATCTTCTGATACTGTGTATTAGTGAATTGTGATCACATTTCACAACACAACTACTAAGTAATATTAAACCTCTAGTCTTTATAGACTAGACTCAAGGCATGTTGTTTATTGTGTAATATGGTAATAATCACCAGCATACAGGTTACAAATAATTATGAATCCTTATAAGCAGTTAAAAAAAGGCAATTTGAAATCAGGACATTTTTACATTTTTATCTACAAATGGTTGTACAAGGGGCTTACAGAATTTAATATGTCCATTTTTGTGTGTAGTGCATCTTGATCAGAGTCACCCTTCCCTCTTGCCCACTCCGATTTCCCCTTCCCATCAGTCATGTCATTTTCCACTTCCTTTCCCACATATGCACATCAAGTATTTTAACTGCATTTACCTACCATTCTCTTCCATTCATCTGCCTCCTCCCTCTAACCTCCCCCTTCATAACATGTTTCAGCTTCCTGATACTCATTTTGTTCAACCATGTTCGCTGTTCAAAGGGTTTACAAGTTGGAGTTTCACTTCTGAATATATTATACTTTAGTCAGCTTGGTTATGTACGTATGCATATGCTTCTGTGTGTTTACATTGGAAGTTGTATTTTGGGTGTAAGATCTACATAAGAGAAAACATGTATCCTTTGTCTTTCTGGGCATAGTTTACTTCACTTGACTTTTTCCCAGGTTCATCAGTTTCCCTGTGAATGACATAATTCTTGGTATGAGCAATTAAAAATTTTTTTTATGAAAATAGTCCAGGTTATAATATACTTAGTCTTTTTTTATAGGCTTGTAGAAAATGCTTTAGAAATAATAACTACTATATTTGTATTACTTTATGCTTCTGATGGGAATATGAAATACACAAGTACAGCCACTTTGAAAATTAGTTTAACAGTTGAAAAAGTTAAACCTATGCTGAACATATGGCCTAGCTGTTTCACACTTGGGAATTTATTTTAGAGAAATAAACTAATTCACTAATGTACGAACATATACGTGGATGCTTGTAGTAGCTTTATTTATAAGTCCAAGCCAGAAGCCATCCATGTCCTTCAGTTTGTCAAGGGTTAAATTGGATTTGATACACGGAAGGGCACTCATAACAAAAAGGAATCAGCTATTGATGTAGCGCTTTTGATTGAGCTTAAGAACTTCCTACCAAGTTAAGAGGCCAGTCACAAAGGTTGTGTGATTGTAGGATCTGTAACTGCAGGTAGTGGGTTTACCTTTTGGTAAATCAGGCGATAAAGGGGTGGAGAAAGGTGTTTTTGTTTTTTTTTTTAAACTTCCAACAAGGAGAGCACCAATTTGAGTTTGCCAAACTTCTCCAGGAGCAACAGAAACAAGGGGCTTTTTACTGGGGGAAATCCCCCATGTTCGTATAGGGAAGACTCACTTGTGGAGAGGGCACATTCGTGGCATGCTCAGTTTGAGGTCCTAATTACAGTGTTCAAAAAATACGCCACCCAGGAACAGCTCCGAGCAGAGAATTTAGTTTTATCATGAGCAAAATTGATTCCACATCATTAAAAAGTGACTTGAGTCTGTGATTTTGGTTGGTTTCTTGTACATTTCTCTAGTGAGCTTGAGATGAAACCAGAAGAAAAAACACAGCTGAAGTCAGTGAGACAGTCTTACAGAGGGTCAGCCCCCATCTGCCAAAAGTGTAAGAGCTATCCCTAAAACTGGCTCACACCTATAATTGTAGCTACTCAAGAGGCTGAGATCTGAGGAACACAGTTTGAAGTGAGTGTGGGCAGGAAAGTCTGTGAGATTTATCTCCAGTTAACCACCAAAAAGCTGGAAGGGGGTTGTGGCTCAAGTGGTAAAGTGCTACCCTGGAGCAAGGAATCCTCAGGGACAGTGCCCAGACCCTGTCCAGCACACATGCAAAAAAGTTGGCTGTGTGTGTAATGGTTCGTTACATTCTGAGGATGACTTTAGAATGGGAACAGAGCAGTGTCTGGTTGGGTTAGGGCTGAGTTTCTTTGGTAATGGAGCAGTCTTATGTCCTGATTGTGCTGATGGGTACAGTGTGTGTATGTGGGACAGAAGGTGGAGTACATGCATACTCTCTCTCTCTCTCTCTCTTTCTCAAAACTGACATTGTGCCGGGCGCCGGTGGCTCACGCCTGCAATGCTAGCTACTCAGGAGGCTGAGATCTGAGGATTGAGGTTGCAGTTCAAGGCCAGTTTGGGCAGGAAAGTCCATGAGACTCTTCTCTTCAATAAATCAATAGAAAACCGGAAGTGGCAGTGTGGCTCAAGTGGTAGAGTGCTTGCCTTGAGCTGAAAAGCTCAGGGACAGCACCCAGGCCCAGAGTTCAAGCCCCACAACTGACAAAAACAAAACAAAAACAAAAACAAAAAACCCTGTCATTGTCCATTTCCTAGTTATAATAGTTGTACTACGCTTGCCCAGTGTATGGCTGTATAACATTTTATGTAATCATTCACCCCTTGAAGGACATGGGGGTTGTTTCTAGTTTTTGGTGATTACAAACAAAGCTGCTCTGAGTATTTATTTTCAGGTTTTTGTGTGAATGTATGTTTCTATTTCTTCTAGGATAAATGCCTAGGAGTGTAACTGTTGGGTTGTGTGGTAAGTATATGTTTAACTTAGGAAACTGCCAAACTTCCAGTGTAGCGACATTTTACAGTCCCATCATCACTCTATGAGAGATCCAGTTTCTCTGTGTTGCCACCATTTGGTACTGGTTTTATTTTTGTGGGTAGAGGTCACTTTAATGTGTACCTTCCTAATAGCTAATTTTTCCATGTACTTATTGACATTGTGTCTTCTTCGATGACTTGTCTGCTCAAATCTCTTGCCCATTTTGTCAATGAATTGTTTGTTTTCTTATTGCTGAGTTTGGAGCTTAAAAAAAATATGTTCTGGATAGTCCTTTGCCAACTATATGATTTGTTAGTACATTCACTCAGTCTCTGGCTTGTCTTTTCATTCGTACAGTGTGGTTCACCGCACAAACATCTGATAAAGCCTGGGTTGTCAGCTTATGGATGTGCTTTGAAGGCATGCACATCTTAGAATTCAATGCCCAGTCCTTTGTCAGGAAGATGGCCTTATGTTTTCTAGTATTATGTCTTACATTTATATCTGTAATCTCTTGGGAGTTGATTTTTACATAAGATGTGAGGCTTAGATATTGATTATTTTTCTTCTCCCTTTGTCTGTGAACGTCCAATTATTCCAAAACCATCTGTTGAAAATACTATTCTTTTTCCGTATAATGGCTTTTTACACCTTTACCAAAATATTGTTTGGCCATTTACTGTAAACAGTGCCACAGGAAGAAATAAATGAACAGTTAAGTAAATGTTAATACAAGGCATGATGTAGTTTGAGTTTGGGACAAGAGGGAAAACATTTTAGAGAATAACATGAGCAAAGTCATGTCCTAGGCAAGTAAGAACTGGATGTTTTGGGAAATCATGTGAGCAAAGGGGATGTGGAACTTAAGGCTATTTAATTTAAGACTGTTGAAATTGCTGGTTTTGAGCAGGAAACAAATGGTATTTAAGAGAAGTTGTTTTAGGTGTATACAGGGCAGTAAGAGGTGGGTAGGAAGGGTGGGATGCAACCATAACCCTTGATCTATCACTTTGTATTTCACAGGTCTGCCAGAAAGTGATGTCATTTCACAATGTTCTAAGTTGAATGTGTGTGTTCAGCTTCCTGTCACTGGCATGCTGTCTGAGATGATCAACCTGTAAGGGGAGAAGTTTATTTTGGCTCCGGTTACTGGGGTTTCAGTCCGTGGTTAGTTGGCACTGTGGTAAGGGAGAATCTCATGCTGAGAGTTACGATGGGGAAGCTGTTCATCTCATGGCATCTAGGAAGCAGAGAGACAGGAATGGAGTTCCCTACACCCTTCAAGGGTAGGGCACACCAGAAGCCTAACTTGCTTTTATCAGGTCTCACCTCCTAAAGGCTTTACCAGGAGTGCCCCAGGCTTTTGAGGGTCCCTTTACCAAACCGTAGCAGTGGGTATGGTACATTTCAGACTTTGTCACTCTTCAGGTATAGATACTGAGAATTCTGTCGGACTTTCAAACTCCTTCAGAGTAATGCTACTTTCAGCAAGCTGCTCTTGTGGAAGAAAGTGTAGTTTTTTTTGCCCATTGTTAATATGGATGGTATAGATATATATTTTTTTCTTTTTTTTTTTTTTAAATCAAGCCTGGAAAATGTCTTAGAGTTGAACAATGAAAGTGACTAAAAAAAACAGAACAAAAACCAAAGAGTTGATAAACTGGTCCAGTGAGGAAAAGTTAGCAGACTCATTGATCATAGTAAACAGGGTATTCTTTGTATACCCAGGGTATTCTTTGCACCCATACTTAGGAACTGTGCAGAGGATAGAGGACCTGCTTCTCTGTAAAACAACTGACAGTGAATGGCTCAAATTGCAGTGTTAGGGTTTTAGTCTTGGGAAAGAATTTCCAGATAGCAGTCATTCATGCCAGTAATCCAAGAGATTTTTAAGGGCAGAGTTTAGGAACATTTTGTCTATAGTCAGGGGTATGATAGGTAACTGCCGTACAGATCTGCCCTTGGAACTTATTGTTTTTGGATTTGGACACACTTTCTTCCTTTTTCTTTTTTTCTTTTGAGTTTGAACTCAGGGACTGGGCACTGTCCCTGAGCTCTTTTGCTCAAGGCTAGAGCTCTACCATTTTGAGTCACAGCTCCACTTCCAGTATTTGAGTGGTAAATTGGAGATAAAAGAATCTCATGGGGAAGTGGTGCTGTGGCTCAAGTGGTAGAGCGCTAGCCTTGAGCTGAAGAGCTGAGGGACAGCTCCCAGGCCCAGAGTTCAAGCCCCACGACCGACCAAAAAAAAAAAAAAGAATCTCACGGGGACTTTTCTGCCTGTGCTGGCTTTGAACCATGATCCTCAGATCTCAGCTTCCTGAGTAGATAGGATTATAGGTGTGAACTACCAGCACCCAGTTTAAAATATAATTGTTTTCTCATTACCCATTTCAGTTTTTGATTTTTCTATACAAATTAATTTTTAACCCATTTCGCATGAGAGTCTCATTTATTTTCTGCATTTAAAAGACAGCATTTAAAATGGATATATATGGAGTTCATTGGATGTAGAATGCACTTCTGCTGTTTATAAAATAACCAGCTAGCTGGTAATCCTAGCTAGCTACTCAGGAGACTGAGATCTGAAGATTGAGTTACAAAGCCAGCTGGGCAGGAGAAGTCAAAGACTCTTGTCTCCAATTAACCACCAGAAAATCAGAAGTGGTGCTGTGGCTCAGTGATAGAGCACTAGCCTTTAACAAAAGAGCTCAGGGACAGTGCCCAGGCCCAGAGTTCAACCCCCACAACTGGCCAAAAACAAAACAAAACAAAAAAACTCAGCTAATAAGAACCTACACACTGTGAGGTGAACTGCTAGAAATCAGTGCATTTTTACACTTACTTGGGACCATGGAAAACACAGCATCCCATTTAAAAACATCAGAGGTGACTTGTTGAGCAGGGGATTGTATGATGATACGCAGAAGTTGAGGACTGGCCGTGTGAAAGCTCCACTGTGATGACTCACTTGTTCTCAAAATACTTTCTGTTTGATTTAACTCCTTAGTTTGATTCTTTGCCACTAGTGAAGGTTTGTTTTTCCCCCCTGACTAAACGTGGGGATGGATCAAGCCTGTAATGCACTTGTGATTGCAGCCCTTCAGTCTTAGCACAGAGGAATTTTTTTTTCCTACAGAAGAGCGGGCTCTTACAGTGCTATGCAAGCTGCCCACTTAAAACTATCATTGCTTGGCACCTATGCCCTAGTGACAGTTTGACCAACATGTGAGCAGGCACACTGCCATCGTGACAGATGGGTGTGAGTAGAGGCAGCCAAGAAACCATGTATCTGCATCTAGTGTATTTGTTAAGGGCAGGATTCCCAGTCAGGGACGTTCAAACGTCTGTCCATCTTGAGCTTTCACTCCTGTGGTATAAGGGATGTCATCATTAATCCCAGCTCTGACTGAGATTCCATGGGTATATAAGGGCTTCTTGGCACTTACAGAAGTAGGCAATTGGGGACAATCAGGATAATTGTTCTCCCCTTCATCACAGTACTACTTCAAATAATCCTTTCCTCTTTCTTCTAGCCAACTAGATTTGTAAGGAATATAACCCAGTTTATGCTTTGTCCTGACACATCTGAATTGTGTGTTTCTTTATGTGTCTTCTAGAGCTTGAAAGCTTTGCTAGTCATTTAATATTTATCCTTTGTACAGAGAAATATAATTGGAGTCAAGTAGATCTGAGTTCAAATATTGACTGCTGTACAACCCTAGGGCAGCCTAATTTAGCATCAGATCACTTCCTGTTATACAGGATTGTTGTGAGAACTAAATATGGATTATGCATATTAATCACTTATATAAGATCTGGCCCACAGTAAATGTTAATGTAAGTGTCATCATTACTTTGATATCACATTAGCACACCTGAAGGTAGTTTTTCTATTGAGAGCGATTTGAAACAGTATATATATATATTTTTAGCTCCTTTCAGTTTTTTTTTTTTGGGGGGGGGTGTCCGGTTGTGGGGCCTAAACTCTGGGCCTAGGCACTGTACCTCAGCTCTTCAGCTCAAGGCTAGTGCTCTACCACTTGAGCCACAGCACCACTTCCGGCTTTTTTCTTTTTGCTTATGTGGTGTTGAGGAATCGAACCCAGGGCCTCATGCATGCAAGGCAAGCGCTCTACCACAGAACCACCTTCCCAGCCCTCCTTTCAGTTCTTGAAAGTCACTTAGTGGACCTTATGCAGGTGTTTTATGGAAAATAATGGTAGGGTATTCCAATGATGGGAAACTCACTATGTCTAGGGCTGTTAGAAAGCTCTTTCTTTTTAAAGAATTTTTTTTAATTGTTAGCATAAAGGTGTGCGTGGCTTACAGTTACATAAGTCAGGTAAAGAACATTTTTTTTTTTTTTTTGGACAGTGTTCCCCTTCCCTTGCTCTGTTTTTCCCTCCCATCCCCATCCACAAAGTGTATAGTTCATTTTCAACATAGTGTCTAGAGAATACCACTGCTGCATTTGTTCACCCCTTGTCCCTCTATTTCTGTGTCTCTTACCCTTCCAAAGACAGATAAGTGAATACACAAGACAAAAAAATTTCCTGGCGTTCATTTTGATAAATATTATTTTATATGATCAGATATACATAGGCCTTGCACCTTTGTGTTCCTCTCCTAAAACTCCTCCTTTGGTCTCACTGTGTGTGAATGCCTAGAGTCCCGTAAGAACTTTCTTATTGTGAGTGGAAATCTACTTTGTTACTCTTTTACTCTGTCGTTTGGAGTCCTATAGAACAAGCCAACTTCATTTTCTACAAAGCATCCTTCCAGATATGTAAAACCAGTATCAAGTATTGTCAGCCCTTTTGAGTGGAAACATCTCCAGTTCATTAACTATTCCTCATATGCCATAGTTCCATGTCAGGTCATCAGGTCATCAGGTGGCTTTTCTCTTGAAATTTCCATTTTTTTCTTTATATTATTTTTATCGATATACTTCTTTACATTAAAGGATCAGAGGAAAAAAAAGCAAT